CCAAATCTTGCCAATTGTGTCCGATATGTGGAGCGAGTCCAAAAGTCTTCATGGAAAATGCTGAAATAGACTCACCATAATTTAAGCAAAGACATGAAGCATTAAAATATGGCATAAGTCCTTTACATGGTTGGATTCGATTTTTTGAATTCGTTCTTAAAATTGCATATAGACTGAATCTTAACAAATGGCAAGTGAGGGATGAAAATGGAAAAAAAGAAATGGCGAAACAAAAAAAGAGGATTCAGAAGCAGATGTGGAATGCTATGGCCTTACATGTGGATAAGCCTAAGCAGAATAGCAATGGAAATACCAACGACGGCAATACAGCAAGGAGGGCGTTTGCACAACCTAAGCTACTAGCTGAAATCTTAGGTCTTGATTAATTTCTTATAGCATATTTTAACAATATTTTAATTGCCATTTCTTGCCACCTACCAATTGATCCAATAAAATTTAAAAAATATTGTCAGAAAACCATAACACTATATATGTCCTTGTATCCATGGTTTCCAATGTCGGCAACAGTCCATAAAGTGTTAATGCACGGCTACCAAATAATAGAAGCATCAATCCTTCCACTAGGTGTTCTCGGCGAGAACGTCTCAGAGGCTCGCAACAAATACTATAAGAGTGACAGGAGGTTACATGCTCGAAAGAGTTCACGGCAGAACAACATGGCAGACGTTTTCCACAGATCAATGGATTCCTCAGATCCTCTTGTGTCGAGCATCTATCTAACAAAAAGATTGGTTTAGCAAAATAAACTACCCCTACCAGCAGACGTAATACAACTTTTGGAGTCACCAAACTTGCTATATTCTTGTAACATGAACAATAATAACAATGTTCCCGATTTTAATACTAGCAATAGTGATAGTGACTCAGATTCTGACTCTGAAAATCCGTTTTCAATAGAAATTGATGTAGAAGACGACTGTTAGACACATTTTTAAATGTAAAATACTTATTCATAGTCATTTTAAATGCATTGTTATTTTTTACTTATTAATATTAAGGTTAAGTGTTTAAAAAATGAAATGAAAACATTTGTTGAATTAAACGAGTGCTAGCATTATTTATTACCGTACAAGTGTCAATAAGAGGAAACCTATCTCATATGGGCGGCTAGGAAGGGCGTGGTCAGATCGGTCTGAAACTTAGATATATTTTTATGTGCATCCACTCTATCATATGTACCAAATTTGAAGAACCTAGCTTTAAAACTTGAATTTTCGTTGAAAAATCGGCCGCCTGGCCCAATGTGCAATGGCACAATAAGCATAGGGACTCCCACGAATGCGCCAAAGACCTGATTAAAATGTTGCGGGAAGAAAATGTAGGCGTCACTTCTTTTTAAAAGTCTTTTTATCCCTCCAAGTCAATTATTTCGCGGGTAGCAGATGGCCAATATTTACATGTAGGAGTTAAAAATCAATTTATGAATTTATTAGACTGCTATCAGAGTGAAAACCAGTTAGTGATAGACATTAATATAGATGGACTGCCATAACTTAAAAGTTCCAGGGCTCAACTCTGGTCCATTTCCTTTGGTATGTATAATCGCATTAAGATCGAATTTGTTACGTCAAGAACATTCGTTTTATATTTCAGACGAACCTCTTCAACAGCCGTTATTGTGCGGAAGTTGTTGCGAAGTCAAGAAGCAAATTGCGGAAAAAATGTTAAAATTTTAAACTTTTTAACATTAAATTTTATTTTTGAGCTAAATCACGTACAGATATTTTTTTTTTGTTTAAGAAATATAAAATGGTTTAACATTACTTTAAAATTATTTTTTCAGTGATGTTTCCTTTCTTAAATGTATTTTTCCCTTGCTAAATGCCCTTATAATCAAATTTTAATTTCTTTTAGAAAAACTTGCGGAAATAATTCTTTCTCTTGCGGAGCAAAAAATTATTGTTTAGCAACTGGTACGGCAACGAGTGGAAGACACAAACGTGACGATATATTTTCCAATAAAAGATGAGGAGGCCCTATATATCGTCAACCGAAATATTAATAGTTGTGCAAAGGACTCCTACTTAAGTCTTTTTTTCTTAGATGTAAACGTTTTAATTAAATGTTCCATGAGATCGTTGTTACTGCCAGAAGGGGTTTTAAAAAACTTGCGGAGGGTTCACACAGATGAGTTTGCTGTGGGAATTAATGTTAAAGGCCTTTTTGGAAAAAAGCCCTTAACTCATATACACATTTCTATGGTGCACTTCAAGATAGGTTATTTTTGTTTAGAGTAAAGGGGTATACTAGATTCGTCGGAAAGTATGTAACGGGCAGAAGGAAGCGTTTCCGACTCCATAAAGTATATATATTCTTGATATGGATCACCAGCCAGGTCGATCTAGCCATGTCCGTCTGTCCGTCTCTCCGTCTGTCTGTCCGTCCGGATGAACGCTGAGATTTTGGAAACTATAAGAGCTAGGCTATTGAGATTTGGCATGCAGATTTCTGAGCTACTTATGCAGCGCAAGTTTGTTTCAGCAATGTGCCACGCCCACTCTAACGCCCACAAACCGCCCAAAACTGTGGCTCCTACAGTTTTGATGCTAGAATAAAAATTTTAACTGAAATGTATTAGTCTTGTTAATACCTATCGATTCCATCCGGGAGTTAAGGAAATTGCGGGGGGAAATCACAGAGACTTTATATTCCGCAGGGTTCGTCTTGGCTAAGTGGGCGTCGAATTGTACCATCAACGAACGACAGGTCGCCGAGTCAGAAGTCCTTATTGGAGAAGACGCCGATACGAAAACTTTGGGTCTCACTTGGAGTCAAAAACTGGATACTTTCAAATTCAACACCCAGAATCTACAGCTCGAAGGCCCACCACAAAGGATCCATGTTTTCATTGAAGCGCGGCTGTTCGATTCGTTAGGACTCATTTGCCCTATCGTTACCCTTGCAAAGATATTAATTTAAAAACTCTGGTCGCTACAAATTTGGATGGGACGACGAAATACCCGCCGACGTACTGCATCGTTGGAAGACGGTGTCATCATGCTTTACAGATTTAGAAACGTTAAACATCCCTCGGCATGTCGGAACTCAGTTATTTGGCACTTATCAAATCCACGGGTTTGCGGACGCGTCAGAAGATGCTTTCGGATGTCGTCTGTACGAAAGGTCAGTGAACTCAGAGGGGATAAAAGTTAGGTTGCTTACAGAAAAATTCAGGGTAGCTCCGATCAATAGACTTAGTATTCCGCGACTAGAACTCTGTGCGGCTCACCTCATAGCGAAGTTATGGAGTGATGTGCAGACACTTAATCCTTACCGCGTCGAGCAGGTTACTATGTTTTCGGATTCTGAAGTTGTTCATTCGTCGCAAATAGTGTTTCGGCTATTCACGAACTGGCTCCAACTGCAGTCTGGCGAAACGTCCCGCCTAACTTCAATCCAGCGGACCTACCCTCTCGAGGAACTACGGTCAAAGATCTCTATACGACTCTTTTATCCATGGACTCGACTCATTGGCCAGTTAATCAGCACTTGGCTGACACGCGCCTTGAAAGCCAACTCGTAATGAAACCGCCAGTAATCGCCCATACGGTTGCTGTTGTCTCAATTCATCCGCTGCAACGAGTAGTTGAAAATTCTTCTTCCTATGTGAAGGTTGTGAGAGTTGCAACATTTATCTTTCGTTTTGCTTACGGCAGGTCCTGGAAATTGTGGAACGACCACGTCCAGCTACCGAGCTTTTTCGTTCTCTTAGAGGCTGTTCAGCGTGAATCGTTTGCAGACGAATTTAATAAATTAAAGAAAAGTTGCCATTACCCAGTTCTTACCAAAATCTTAAACCATTTATCAGCAACGAAGCTTTCGGAACCCGTACTTTAACATTGGTGCGAGTGGGTCGACTAGCGCACGCGGATCTAGAACCCAGTGCCAAAATTCCTATATTAATGCCTAAAGGGAATCGTTTTGTCAAATTGTACATCGAGCACCTGCACTACGCTAAATGCCATGCAGGTCCACGAGCTCTAGTCGGCCTGCTTCGGCAGACAATTTGGTTGATCAGTGCTGTTGTGCGCCGATGCACGCACAGTTTCCGGTATAAGCCACGGTTAATTACGCAAATAATGGGAAATCTGCCTCTTGACCGTGTCAGAATCAGTCGACCCTTTAGAATAAGCGGAGTCGATCTCTTCGGTCCAATCCGAGTGTCGCTAGGAGTGCGTGACAAGGCAGCTCTAAAAATGTATGTCGCATTATTCATATGTTTTTCAACGAAAGCGGTTCACCTAGAACTATTGAAGGATCTCACTTCTAACTCATTTATCCTCTTCCTCAGCAGAATTGTTGATCAATGCGGCCCGCTCGAACGGCTGTACTGCGACAATGCAACCAATTTTGTTGGTTCCACACGGCTGCTCCAGGAGATGGCCTCCAATGTCCGCAGCACACTGGGAACGTACGACGTCCATCACCAGGTTGAGTTCGTCTTCATTCCGCCCCGGTCGCCTCATTTTGGGGGCCTATGGGAGGCCGCCGTCAAATCCGCCAAACACCTTCTTTTGAGGGCCGTCGGAAAAGCCTTGCTGAAGGAGGACGAAGTCCAGACGCTCCTGGTTGAAGTGGAAGCAGTGCTTAACTCGCGTCCGCTAGTAGCTGAGAGCAGCAACCCCAACGACGGAGAGGCAATTACTCCAGCCCATTTTCTGGTAGGCACTACGCTCGCTGCTTTACCCCAGGATCGGCACCTCCTTATCCGGACACCATCTACAACGCTGGCAGCCTATATAGGCATCAAACGACGGTTTTGGCGAGACTGGTCCCGTGACTATGTAGCGGGGCCGCAGCAAAGAGTTAATTGGACAAAGGAATCGGAATTGAATACCAGGAACCATCGTCGTCACCAAAGAGGATAATTTACCGCCCCAGAAGTGGCTGCTCGGCAGAGTCACGTAAGTAACGCAAGGATCGGATGACAAGGTGCGCGTTGCTCTAGTACAAACAAGCAAGGCGTAAACAAGCGATCAGTACATCATCTGGCACCTCTTCCCATTAATTGAAGGCCTGCCGCGCTTCAACGCGGGCGATGTTTGGTCATTTCACTGTTTGTTTTGTTTACTATGTTCGATGCGATGCCCGACTATCGAAAGCTGCGAGCAGGGGCGTAGCAAAGCTGATCATCTCTAATAAATTACCCGCAACAGGTCGGCCAGCAACGATCATACTAAAATTACAATAAAATATTATATTAAGAATAATACCAGATTAGCATAAAATACTAACTCTTTATACCAATGTAATATGGAAAAGATTTGAAGAAAGAGAGTTGGTAACATTGTTGAATAGAAAATCTCTTGGAATAAACGCACAATTTTCACAGATGACGGCTAAGCAATGTTTTGAACAAAACCAGTGGGTTCGCGAAGTTGCAAATTTACTCCTGCTCCCTGAGCAAACATAGGATATATAATGACGTACAATTATTGTAAGTGAGCCTGGTTTTTTTTTTGTTTTTTTAATATGTTTATAACACTATGCATTGCCTTTTTCAAACATTTGTCCGGGCCAATATTCCTGAATAAAATATAAGCGCATATGTTTAAAAAATTTGATTTTCTTGTATATTTATATATTTTCCTTTAACCCCTTTCGGGATTTTATTTGGCACAAAACATTTTTTTTTTTCATTAACGTACTTTTAAGTTAGATTAATGCAAAATACTTTAAACAAAAGGTATCACTCACCTGACATAATTGTGATCAACAGATAGCACTTTTTATAAAAAACTATTTGATTGATTTGAATTGCCTGCTTCCCTTTAAAAAACTCAAAAAGAATGTAGCATGTCTTCTCACCCCGTTACTTGATTTCTTTTTATCTTCACTGTTGGCGAAACATATCGGACGATTTAATTTTTAATCCTTGAGTAAAAACACAAAACGAAATTTTTAAAGAAGTTAATAATACCTATTTTAAACATTTAAATAAGTATAAATGGACCAAGGTTCTATAACTTTACTAAACATTTACATTGTATTGTACATAACATTAACATTACATTATAAGCAAACTCAAATGATTTTTTTTACTATGATCAAATACCTTAACTTTATAAAACAATATTAGTTGATTTATTTTAATATACAACCGTGCTTAAAAAATATTAGGGCATAAACAAGACGCTTGGTCTGCCTATCTTTCTTGCCCGACTGTTTGCGTCGGCAGTCTTCTGCGCCACTTTGCAGTTCTCGCGGGGGCCGGTGGCCCTATCGGGGTAGAAAAAGGATCGACCACCGAGTGGTCCCTTAAGGGACAATAGTCAATAAGTGGCTTGTGTATTTTTTGCAAATGCAAAAGAGTTATAGGAAAGTGAATACTCCTATATGAATTATACAATGACATTTTTGACAAGTAAAAAAATATAAAGGACGAACACAACTTTATTCTGTTCACATAAAAAACAAATTTTTTTTAAAACAACAAAAGTTAAAATGATAAAATATAAAAAATATACAAAAATTAATAATAAGATAAAATAAAATAATAAAATATAGAAATTTATTTATTTTATATATTTATACTTAACAATGGGCCATTTAGCTGCAGCAATATTTTCAATATCGGTGGTTCAGCAGCAAAAAGTTTTCTTCCATTCCATAACAAGCGGATTTTATTGGTGCTTAAATATTTAAAATAAATATATAAGTACGCAACTATATATAAATATAGATAAACAAAAATACCATCAGCGAAATGTTTTTATTGCAATCGATTATTCGAAATCGGTAGGCGCCATGTTAGTCGTAACGGATTGCAGTACACTACCCCAACGTCGCTACCAAATTTTGAAACATTGTAATTAATTTTCATATTGTACATTTGAAGTGTTTTTATACCCGTTTCGTAGAGTATATATGTTCTTGATCAGGATCACTAGCCGAGTCGATCTAGCCATGTCCGTCCGGATGAACGCAGAGATCTCAGAAACTTTAAGAGCTAGGTTATCGGGATTTGGCATGCAGATTCCTGAGCTTCTTACGCAGCGCAAGTTTGTTTTTAGCAGTGTGCCACGCCCACTCTAACGCCCACAAACCGCCCAAAACCGTGGTTCCTACAGTTTTGATGCTAGAATAAAAATTTAAACTGAAATGTATTGTTCTCATCAATACCTATTGATTAGCCCAAAAAACCTCATGCCCACTTTAACTCCCACAAACCGCCCACAACCTTAAAAAAAATCGTAAGTATGAACGCGGATATCTCGGAAACTATCAAAGATAGAGAATTGGGATCTCAGATTTAGATTCCGTAGCCTTAAGCGCAGCGCAAGTTTATTACGCGAATATGCCACGCACACTATAACGCCCGCAAACCGTCCAAGCCTGTGGCGCCCACAATTTTCATGCTAGATAAAAAAATTTTAACTGAAATGTATTGGTCTCGTCAACACCTATCGATTGACCCAAAGAAAATTTTGCCCGCACACTCTAACGCCCATAACGCTTAAATCTGTTGACATGCCCACATAACCATATATTTAGATCAGGGGTTTGTGGCGCATTTCAGTCTCGCTATACTGCTTGCATATCTCATATTCTCCATTTCCCTTTTGTCCCATTAGCTGAGTTACGGGTATCTGATAGTCGAGGTACTTGACTATAGCGTTCTTCCTTGTTTTTATACCCGTTACTCGTAGAGGCAGAAAGAAGCGTTTCCGACCCCATAAAGTATATATATTCTTGATCAGGATAACTAGCCGAGTCGATCTAGGCATGTCCGTCTGTCCGTCTGTCTGTCCGGATGAACGCTGAGATCTCGGAAACTATGGGAGCTAGGCTATTTCTCAATATTTGGCGTGCAGATTCCTGAGCTTCTTACCCAGCGCAAGTTTGTTTCAGTAGAGTGCCACGCCCACTCTAACGCCCAGAAACCGCCAAAAACTGTGGCTCCTACAGTTTTGATGCTAGCATAAAAATTTTAACTGAAATGTAATGTCTCATCAATACCTATCGATTGACCCAAAAAAGTTTGCCACGCCCACCCTAACGCCCATAAACCGCCCACAAACTTCAAAAAATCGTAAGTATGAACGTGGATATCTCGGAAACTATCAAAGATAGAGAATTGGGATTTCAGATTTAGATTCCGTAGCCTTATACGCAGCGCAAGTTTGTTACGCGAACATGCCACGCCCACTCTAACGCCCACAAACCGCGAAAACCTTTGTATGCTAGATAAAAAATTTTAACTGAAATGTATTGGTCTCGACAATAGCTATCGATTGGTCAAAAAAAAATTTGCCACGCCCACTCTAACGCCCAAAACGCTTAAATCTGTATGCCGCCGGTAGGTGGCGCATTTTAATCTCGCTTTGCTACTTGCATATCTCTATTTAGCTGAGTTACGGGTATCTGATAGTCGAGGTACTCGACTAAAGCGTTCTTCCTTGTTTTTGTTGTGTTCTGAAGTGTCGTGAGCAGGTGAGTACCACCATATATGTTGTGCAAGTGAAATACCTAATAATATGTGATATTCAGCCGTGAACTGCAACAGGCACATACATCGCTTAGTTAAAGAGGAGAAGGAGAAATAACTAAAAAGATTTGGGGAAATAGAGCAAGCGCAGCCTCCAAATGAATTAGAAGTGTCTGATAGATGGGCATTCAATACCCCCAGTTCTGCAAAATAGTAGTTTGTTAAAATAGTGGTTTGTTAGATGAAAAGCTTCGCCAATGGCACAATAAGCATAGGGACTCCCGCGAATGCGCCAAAGACCTGATTAAAATTTTGCGGGAAGAAAATTTAGGCGTCACTTCATTTTAAAAGTCTTCTTATCCCTCCAAGTCAATTATTTCGCTGGTAGCAGATGGCCAATATTTACATGTAGGAGTTAAAAATCAATTTATGAATTTATTAGACTGCTATCAGTTAATCAGTTAATCAGAAAATCAGTTAGTGATAGACATTAATATAGATGGACTGCCATTATTTAAAAGTTCCAGGGCTCAACTCTGGTCCATTTCCTTTGGTATGTATAATCGCATTACGATCGAATTTGTTACGTCAAGAACATTCGTTTTCTATTTCAGACCTCTTCAACAGCCGTCATTGTGCACAAGTTGTTGCGAAGTTAAGAAGCAAATTTTGGAAAAAAAATGGTAAAATTTTAAACTTTTTAACATTAAATTTTATTTTTGAGCTATAGCCTAGTACTCAGGTCGGCTAAGAATTTCACTAGTCGAAAAATCTTATTCTTTGTAGTGTGACCGAAGTTTTCAAAGTTCACCCGCAATGCATTTAGCATGGTCTTACTGTCAAGCAGCTGGGCTGGTTGCCAAACGGAAAACAAATTAACTGGAGGAATTTAAAAAAGAAGAGTCTGCTGATGCACAAATAAGTTAAAATAAAAATAAATGAAATGTTCAACTAATGTTTTTATTTATGTAAATTAGAGTTAGTTTAAGGCTTCCTTCTCGTCCCACTGATGCTTCGCTATCTTTCCCGCGCCATCTGCAGTCCAGCTCCGAGTCCCAATAGGCTGGCCAATAATAATGGCTGGTGGTGGCTCCTCCAGCTGTCCCTTAGCGGGCGACCATATTTTCTCCTACCTAAGGAAGCCGGCGCGTCCTGCATCTCCGCTTTAGTTGTCAAGTAGCTGGGGAGGTGGAGTCCTTCCCACTGGGATTCTTTAGTGGATCTCCTCCAGTGCTTCAACTATTCTGCGGATTTGCCCCGTTGTGGTATTGCTTCCTGTCGGTCAAGTCCCACAACAATGGGCAACAGCTTGGATTAGGCGTACTTTTTCATCTGCCCTGACCGAGTGGAAGACACAAACGTGACGATATATTTTCCAATAAAAGATGAGGAGGCCCTATATATCGTCAACCAAAATATTAATAGTTGTGCAAAGGACTCTTACTTAAGTCTTTTTTTCTTAGATGTAAACATTTTAATGAAATGTTCCATGAGATCGTTGTTACTGCCAGAAGGGGTTTTAAAAAACTTGCGGAGGGTTCTCACAGATGAGTTTGCTGTGGGAATTAATGTTAAAGGCCTTTTTGGAAAAAAGCCCTTAAGTCATATACACATTTCTATGGTGCACTTCAAGATAGGTTATTTTTATACCCGTTACTCGTAGAGTAAGAGGGTATACTAGATTCGTCGGAAAGTATGTAACGGGCAGAAGGAAGCGTTTCCGACTCCATAAAGTATATATATTCTTGATGAGGATCACCAGTCGGGTCGACCTAGCCATGTCCGTCTATCAGTCTCTCCGTCTGTCTGTCCGTCCGGATGAATGCTGAGATTTTGGAAACTATAAGAGCTAGGCTATTGAGATTTGGCATGCAGATTCCTGAGCTTCTTATGCAGCGCAAGTTTGTTTCAGCAATGTGCCACGCCCACTCTAACGCCCACAAGCCGCCCAAAACTGTGGCTCCTACAGTTTGATGCTAGAATAAAAATTTTAACTGAAATGTATTAGTCTTGTTAATACCTATCGATTCCATCCGGGAGTTAAGGAAATTGCGGGGGGAAGTCACAGAGACTTTATATTCCGCAGGGTTCGTCTTGGCTAAGTGGGCGTCGAATTGTACCATCAACGAACGACAGGTCGCCGTGTCAGAAGTCCTTATTGGAGAAGACGCCGATACGAAAACTTTGGGTCTCACTTGGAGTCTAAAACTGGATAATTTCAAATTCAACGCCCAGAATCTACAGCTCGAAGGCCCACCCACAAAGCGATCCATTTTTCATTGCAGCGCGGCTGTTCGGTCCGTTAGGACTCATTTGCCCTATCGTTACCCTTGCAAAGATATTAATTTAAAAACTCTGGTCGCTACAAATTGGATGGGACGACGAAATACCCGCCGACGTACTGCATCGTTGGAAGACGGTGTCATCATGCTTTACAGATTTAGAAACGTTGAACATCCCTCGCCATGTCGGAACTCAGTTAGGTGGCACTTATCAAATCCACGGGCTTGCGGACGCGTCAGAAGATGCTTTCGGATGTCGTCTGTACGAAAGGTCAGTGAACTCAGAGGGGATAAAAGTTAGGTTGCTTACAGATAAATTCAGGGTAGCTCTGATCAATAGACTTGGTATTCCATGACTAGAACTCTGTGCGGCTCACCTCATAGCGAAGTTATGGAGTGATGTGCAGACACTTAATCCTTACCGCGTCGAGCAGGTTACTATGTTTTCGGATTCTGAAGTTGTTCTCTTTTCGTTGCCCACTTGTCTGTCAAAATTTAAAACATTCGTCGCAAATAGGATTTCGGCTATTCACGAACTGGCTTCAACTGCAGTCTGGCGACACGTCCCGACTAACTTCAATCCAGCGGACCTACCCTCTCGAGGAACTACGGTCAAATATCTCTATACGACTCTTTTGTCCATGGACTCGACTCATTGGCCAGTTAATCAGCACCTGGCTGACACGCGCCTTGAAAGTCAACTCGTAATGAAACCGCCAGTAATCACCCATACGGTTGCTGTTGTCTCAATTCATCCGCTGCAACAAGTAGTTGAAAATTCTTCTTCCTATGTGAAGGTTGTGAGAATTGCAACATTTATCTTTCGTTTTGCTTACGGCAGGTCCTGGAAATTGTGGAACGACCACGTCCAGCTACCGAGCTTAGTTTTTCGTTCTCTAAGCAGCTCTAAAAATGTATGTCGCATTATTCATATGTTTTTCAACGAAAGCGCGTTCACCTAGACTATTGAAGGATCTCACTTCTTACTCATTTATCCTCTTCCTCCGCAGAATTGTTGAACGGTGCGGCCCGCTCGAACGCACGACTGCTCCAGGAGATGGCCTCCAATGTCCGCAGCAAACTGGGAACGTACGGCGTCCATCACCAGGTTGAGTTCGTCTTCATTTCGCCCCGGTCGCCTCATTTTGGGGGCCTATGGGAGGCCGCCGTCAAATCCGACAAACACCTTCTTTTGAGGGCCGTCGGAAAGCCTTGCTGAAGGAGGACGAAGTCCAGACGATCCTGGTTGAAGTGGAAGCAGTGCTTAACTCGCGTCCGCTAGTAGCTGACAGCAGCAACCCCAACGACGGAGAGGCAATTACTCCAGCCCATTTTCTGGTAGGCACTACGCTCGCTGCTTTACCCCCAGGATCGGCACCTCCTTATCCGGACACCATCTACAACGCTGGCAGCCTATATCAGGCATCAAACGACGGTTTTGGCGAGACTGGTCCCGTGACTATATATCGGGGCCGCAGCAAAGAGTTAATTGGACAAAGGAATCGGAATGGAATACCAGGAACCATCGTCGTCACCAAAGAGGATAATTTACCGCCCCAGAAGTGGCTGCTCGGCAGAGTCACGTAAGTAACGCAAGGATCGGATGACAAGGTGCGCGTTGCTCTAGTACAAACCAAGCAAGGCGTAAACAAGCGATCAGTACATCATCTGGCACCTCTTCCCATTAATTGAAGGCCTGCCGCGCTTCAACGCGGGCGATGTTTGGTCATTTCACTGTTTGTTTTGTTTACTATGTTCGATGCGATGCCCGACTATCGAAAGCTGCGAGCAGGGGCGTAGCAAAGCTGATCATCTCTAATAAATTACCCGCAACAGGACGGCCAGCAACGATCATACTTAAATTACAATAAAATACTATATTAAGAATAATACCAGATTAGCATAAAATATAACTCTTCATACCAATGTAATACGGAAAAGATTTGAAGAAAGAGAGTTGGTAACATTGTTGAATAGAAAATCTCTTGGAATAAACGCACAATTTACACAGATGACGGCTAAGCAATGTTTTGAATAAAACCAGTGGGTTCGCGAAGTTGCAAATTTACTCCTGCTCCCTGAGCAAACATAGGATATATAATGACGTACAATTATTGTAAGTGAGTCTGGTTTATTTTGTTTTTTTTAATATGTTTATAACACTCTATGCATTGCCTTTTTCAAACATTTGTCCGGGCCAATATTCCTGAAAAAAATATAAGCGCATATGTTTAAAAAATTTGATTTTCTTGTATATTTATATATTTTCCTTTAACCCCTTTCGGGATTTTATTTGGCACAAAACATTTTTTTTTTCATTAACGTGTTTTTATGTTAGATTAATGCAAAATACTTTAAACAAAAGGTATCACTTACTTGACAGTATTATGATCAACAGATAGCACTTTTTATAAAAAACTATTTGATTTCGATACGCACAAGTTGAATTGCCTGCTTCCCTTTAAAAAACTCAAAAAAATGTAGCATGTCTTCTTCTCATCCCGTTACTTGATTTCTTTTTATTTTCACTGTTGGCGAAACATATCGGACTATTTAATTTTTAATCCTTGAGTAAAAACACAAAACGAAATTTTTAAAGAAGTCAATAATACCTATTTTAAATATTTCAATAATTATAAATGGACCAAGGTTCTATAACTTTACTAAACATTTACATTGTATTGTAAATAACATTAACATTACATTATAAGCAAACTCAAATGATTTTTTTACTATGATCAAATACCTTAATTTTATAAAACAATATTAGTTGATTTATTTTAATATACAACCGTGCTTAAAAAATATTAGGGCATAAACAAGACGCTTGGTCTGCCTATCTTTCTTGCCCGACTGTTTGCGTCGGCAGTCTTCTGCGCCACTTTGCAGTTCTCCCGGGGGCCGGTGGCCCTTTCGGGGTAGAAAAGGGATCGACCACCGAGTGGTCCCTTAAGGGACAATAGTCAATAAGTGGCTTGTGTATTTTTTACAAGTGCAAAAGAGTTATAGGAAAGTGAATACTCCTATATGAATTATACAATGAAATTTTTGACAAGTATATAAATATTATAAGAACGAACACAACTGTTTTGGGAAGACAACAAATATGCCACCCTTATATTTATAATTAATAACGCACGAATAGGTTATATTAAAATGTATAGCGTTTATTCGAAGCGGCAGACGGACTGTGAATGTGTAAAAAGCTTGGCTCCAAGATCTTCATATAGACATATGCAGGCTTACAAAGTAGTTGCTGAATATAAGAAAGAAGGCGAAAGATAAGCAGAGAGCGATGCAGGTGCCGTCGTACACCTATGCGCGCATGACTAGGCGCTGGCGATCTGCTCCGAACATACTCCCCCCGTTGGAAGAGGTAAGGTTCCAACTATCTCGGAATCGATGGGCAGAACGGCTAGCTTGGCGACGGCTCTCTTGATCAGACCCGTAGCTGTACGGACCATAGCTACTCTGATGACTCCGTCCCCGCCGGTATGACTTCTTGGATGCACCCAAGCTGCCATCTCAAGGGTGGAACGTTGTCCTCCTTAAGCAAAACTATGCGTCCAACCTTGATGTTAGACGTTTCGACGCGCCACTTGCTCCTCTCTTGAAGTAGGGACAAATACTCGCTGCTCCACCTTTTCCAGAAATGTTGCTGCATCTGGGTAACCCGCTGCCATCTGCTGAGGCGGTCTTCGCGGAGATGAGTAATGCCAGGCTCAGGAAACTTAGTGTAGCTGGAACCCTTCAGGAAATGCGCCGGTTAGCACCTCAAGGCTTTCAGCATTTTCTGAAATTGGACAGAGTGGACGGGAGTTAAGGATAGCAGAAATCTCATATGCAAGAGTTCTTAATTCATCGATGGCTAAGATGGATGCACCGGCGACTCTGTTGAAGTGAAATTTAGCTGACTTCACAGCAGCCTCCCATAAACCACCGAAGTGCGGAGCACGCCTCCGCGCTCCAGACTAAGTGAGCATAGCTCTATACTTAAGAATATATAGGCCGTCTCTCCGCTGCCGCTGTTGGCAGCGCCGCTATGAGACTTAGACCTCCTTAGCTCCTAAGTAAATTAAGTTTGTCAAGAAACTCTTTTGAGCTCAGAGCGGCAACAAAGGCTGCTCTGCTCCGAATAAAATACAAATAAAAATCATCAAATGAATATCAAACCTAAATGAATTTGACTTATATTATTTGGCCATCGAATTTATCGGCAACACTACTTCGCATAAGCGAGCATTCTGCTCCAGAGTCAAAGCACATAGGAAAGATCTCACCCTGCTGTGTCATAGCTCCTTTTGGCTCAGCCACAAAACATTGGTTACATTTCTTCTCAGTAACTGCTCCAGATTTAGCTGCATTGTTCGTGCACCGATTTGCAAGATGCCAAGTTGTCCACACCGGTAACAAGTCACATTCTGTAAGTCACGATGCTGCTTATTCTCCGATCCAGACCGCTTCAATTTACACTCCGCCATTTTATGTCCTGGTTTCTTGCAATAAGTGGCACACGATTTTGGCTCGCTTGCAGTCGCCGCTATTACCATCATTACTTAAATGCTCTCAGTTCCATCTGGAGTTGACTTCTAGTTTGTACATTTGACGAAAACACCATACGCTGCAAACGGTTGTCAAAATTGGCCATTTGCGCAAGTACCGTGGATACAGCTATTTCCTCGGCTTTCATATTGCGCCATTTTGTGGTCAATGACGTCACCATACGGCTTGCGTACACTGCAGGGCACTCGTTGTGGGGTGGACGGCTGTTCAGCAGATTCAGGAACATAGCTGCCGGCGTTTCCTTAATCTCGAAACGCTGTATAAATAGTTCTTTAAACTGCTCCCAATTAATGCCGGGATAGCAGATCTGTGCAAGCCACGCTGAAGCACTGCCCTGCATGCAACTACTCAACATCATAATAAGTGCGCTGCCATCAATCTGCTGTTCGTCCATAATAATGCTTGCCGTTGCACACCATTGAGTCGCATCGGCTTCAGTTAAATCTGGGTTAAATTTTGGTAAAACCACTTGATTTTGTGGACGCACAGACGCTTTCATAGCTTTACACATTTCAACAAAATTGCGATTCTGCAGTTCCATAATAGTACGCCACTGATCTTCAGAAAATGCAGGAGTTGGCACCGATCCCACTTCTGATGTCGGTTATGGATTTGATTTTCCATATTTTGCGCAGATTGTATACGGCGAATATAATTGAGCACACCACAGTCGATTTGAGAATGCGCGCCAGCCTTCTTGCATACCCAAAAGTCCTCCCGAAAATGCTGCAACGAGCATACTTGTGTCTCTGTCTCTCGCAGTGGCTCAAGGATACACGCACAACAATCGTAGTGCGCATCTCTCTCTCAAACCTCTAACCTCTCACAATTTTCTTTCTCATGTTCGCATCGAACTATACTGACCACCTGGCGAATAGACGGAACAAAGCGTACTAACAAACAACCGTTAGAGTGCAGAGACGAGATTTGCCACTTGGTACACGCATTTGATTTAATGCTTTTACACTGACTACCATAATTTAAGATCCGACAAGTTCAACATCTTGAAACCCAATTTTCAGCCCAATCTTTCATGCCACAAGCGATATTCGGCGTCATTTGAAATTTTGGATGTATATACTTTACTATTTAAATAAAATTTCAGAATTGGTACATTATACTTACACATCCCTTTAAATGCACAGTCCATCCTGATTAAATTCGACGGACATTCCAGCATCTAGCATCTTCTTCATGTGTAGTAAATTGTGCGGGATTTCCTTGCAAAACAGCACATTTTGTAATGCAATGTTTTTCCCAGAACTGTTAAGACTAACTAGTCCTTTCGTAGTAGCATACACGAATTCTCCACGCTTTGCAATCTCAATCTCCACACTTGGATTTGTGTCCTTGCCAACTCTTTTTAGTTTGATTTCATGATCCAGAAGCCGTGTCTTTACAAAGGCTAATGTTAAATTGCTCTCAGAGAGAGTTTATATCGCTGTTATTACTCCATCATAGCTAGTTGGAAGTGTTAGAAGCAAATGAGACACTTTGTCCATTTCATCTATCTTGGCTCCTGCCGCAACTAACTCAGTAACCAAATCACCAAATAAACGAAAGTGGTTCACTAGCGGAGTATCACCCTTCAATTTTAGAGACAATAATTGTTTGCGTAATGAAAGTTGAGATGCCAGGCTTTTACGCTCGTAAATAGTATCCGAATTGTCAAAAATCTCCTTAGCCGAGTTCCCATTGTTGGCAAACACTTGTTACGTACGCCCTCCCCCATACCAAGATAAACCCCGGCAAAACAACTGCCATTAGTTGAGGGTAGGGGCCGTAATGACTAACCACACTCCGATTGATAAAATCAAAACAGCAAAAACAATTCGACAACTCAGGGGGTCGCGTGGCCAGAACAACGACCACGATCGACCTGCTCGTAACCGTACTCCAGTAAGGTGGCAAAGTGCACCAGCCGGCCATTGACTCCTAAAATAGGGAAAATGGAGAAACAGTACCCCTAGGTGGGAACACGTAGTTAATTCATCCAATATGGGGGCTAGCGAAAGCTCTAGTCCGGTATAAAAGACCCCAGCCAAATGGAGAAGGGACAGAAATTGTTCTGATCTCTCCCTGACAGTGGTCTAGAAGTACAACTCCTATCAACACAGACCACGACTGGAAGAAGGCTGGTGTCCAGAAGGATGTCTTGACGTTTCCCTAGGATTAACTTCACCCAGGAGAAAGTTCCGATAACCGGTCCTGCGATCGACCACAATCTGGAGGAAGTCAACCTGCAAAATCCCGAAGGACGAAAAGGAACTAGCGAACTAAGTGAATGGCCTAAAGACCCCAAGATGGGCGGCGAAACTTCCAAAGTGGCCGACAGCACCGCCAATGTGATTAATCACGTAGAGATCGTTGACCACAGGGACGATATTCAAGATGTCAACAGGACCCTGAAGCTCATAGCTGGACTACTACTGGTTATAGTGATCCTTAA